CCATAGGTTTCAGTATGTTGTGTTTCCATTTTCGTTTGTCTCAAAATATTTTTATATTTTCCTTTTATTTTCTTCTTTGACCCCCTGGTTGCTCAGGAGCATGTTGTTTAATTTCCACTATTTGCAAATTTTCCAAGATTCCTCCTGTTATTGATTTCTAGCTTCTTACCATTGCAGTCTGAAATAACACTAGATATGATTTCAGTCTTCTTAAATTTGTTAAGACTTGTTTTGTGGCCTAACACATGGTCTATCCTGGAGAATATTCCATGTGCACTAGAGAAAAATGGATATTCAATGGCTGATGGATGGAAAATTCTGTATATGTCTGTTAGGTCCATTTGGTTACAAGTGCAATTCAAGTTCAGCATTTCCTTATTGATTTTTTGTGTGGATAATCTATCTATTGCAAGTAAGGTATTGAAGTACCCTACTATTGTTGTATTGCTATCTATTTCTCCCTTCATGGCCATTAACATTTGCTTTAGGTATTTAGGTGCTCCAATGTTGGACTCATGTATATTTATAATGGTTCTGTCCTCTTGATGAATCGACCCCTTTATCATTAAATAATGAACTTCTTTGTCTCTTGCAATAGTTTTTTTTTTCTTTTTTATTTCAGCATATTATGGGGGTACAAATGTTTAGGTTACGTATATTGCCCTTGCCCCACCCGAGTCAGAGCTTCAAGCGTGTCCATCCCCCAGATGGTGCACATTGCACTCATTATGTATGTATATACCCATCCCTTCCTCACCACTCCCATCTGCCCAACACCCGATGGATGTTATTCTTATATGTCTTGCAATAGTTTTTGACTTAAAGTTTATTTTATCAGCTGTAAGTATAGCCCACCTTTCTCTCTTTTTGTTATCATTTACATAGGAATATCTTCTTCCATCCATTAACTTACAGCCTATGTATGTCATCAACGTTTAAGTGGGTCTCTTGTAAGCAGCATATAGTTGGATATTGTTTTTTTATCCATTCAACCACTCTATGTCTTTTGATTGGAGAAATTAGTCCATTTACATTCAGGTAGTAAGAACTTACTATTGCCATTTTGTTATTTATTTTCAGATTGTTTCATAGATCCTTTGTCCTCTCTTTCTCTCTTGCCTACATTTGTAATTTGGTAATTTTCTGTACTGCTAAGCTTTGGTTCCTTTTTCTTTATCATTTGTATGTATATCTGCCAGAGTTTTTTGTTTTGTGGTTATTAGGAGGCTTACACAAAACATCTTATAGCTATAATCTACTATTTTAACTTGATAACAACTTCTGTTACATACAGAAACTCTAGACTTTTACCCTTCCCACAATTTATGTTTTTGATGTCACAATGTACATCTTTTATATTGTGTATTCCTTAGCAACTTATTGTATATTTAGTTATTTTTGGGCATTTTGACTTTTAACCTTCACACTAGTGGTATGTATGTTTTACACACCAGCATTAAAGTATTGGAATATTTGACTATGAATTTACATCTAGCAGTGAGTTTTATACTTTCATATGTAGTAATAATAGTAATTACCATCCTTTTGTTTCTGCTTGAGGAGCTCCTGTCAGCATTTCTTCTGAGGCAGGTATAGTGAATGAATTCCCTCAGTTTTTGCTTCATTGTGAAAGACTTTATTTCCCCTTCATTTCTGAAGGACAGCTTTGCTGTCAGAGCAGGGTGTTGCCTGCTCTTCTTTGTGCTGCCATCCTGGGTATCTGTGCTCCCGGGATGCTGCGACTTGGCTGCTCTGCAGTGCTCCTTTAGTTATTTTGGTCAAAATGTAGTTGTTTACTTGTTGTTTTGGGGTTTTTGTGGAGGGAGCGCTAGGAACTTCTAGTCAGCTATCTTGTTGATGTCATTTCTAATTCATTTTCACAATGATGAGTAGGAAGAATTCCATGTTTCTGTTAAAAATTGACTAATTTGAATATTTTCTATCAGTTGTGTTGTGTGAAATAGAGACGTGCTTTGCTCAGTGGATTAATATAATCTCTACTCACCAGACCCGTGACCTCTCAGGCCTGGAAGAGCCAGTAGAGACCAAGAAGGTGGTGCTACCCTGAGGGACCCATCTCAGCTCCTTCCTCACCCCCTCACCCGCCACTAGCCCCCTCCCCTCCTACTTCTAGGATAAGTAGCACTCTGAAAGGTTTAATGACAGTGAAATAAGACGTGATATGGGCAGGTGAGGGGACAGTGAAGCACAGCATACTATCCTGCATAGAAGAGCTAGACACCTGGATTAATTTACTCAGGGGCCTTTCTGTTCTGTTGTGATTCGTGGGCTGATAGAGGTTCTCATCAATAATGGATTAAGTGTGTGAATGTTGGTTTGCAGATACCAGCAAACTTGTTAATCTAATCTCATTGTCTTGTTTTAGATCTAAAAATGTGATTGAATGTTAATTGGGGTCGATATATATATTCAGATTCCTCCCATTATCAGGTCTTATCTTGTTTTTTACTTATGTCCTCAATAAAGATTTACCAGATGCAAAATTGAGGTGTTTGATGAATAGAATTTACCTTTGGAATATGCAGTCACTGCTACTTAATGTGGGTAGATCAAGATGTTATCTCACCGGATTTCATGAGTGTACAGCCAGCCCAAAACAACATTTTATAAGAGCCAAGCTTGTCCCCAAAATCACTAATCTCTTCTGTCACCCTTTATTTCCTCTTTTATAAGATACACAATGTCCTTATATAGCCTTAAAACCAGACTGCGATTGTCCCCTGTCGCCCACTCAAATTCTAATGTAGCCTGTGTTCCAGAAATAGCTACTACTTCTCTCTCTCAACTTGCAAATTTCTATACCTTTAGCACAGCTGCTCTCGGGGAGGTATTAAGGTATTACATTGACAGTAATCTACTTGAGCTAATTCCTGCCAAGTTGTGATAACTGATACCACCCTAAACCCCTAACAGTGGGTAGGAAGGCCTTTCTAAAAGTGGTCGGCTGTTATCTCAAATAAATTTCCACTCAGAATTTTAACGAAAGTGGTAAAGAAGAAAAGTGGAACAATTCTTGTTTGAGGGGCAGAGAGTAAGAGAGAGACAGACACATAGGCCTGCTGGCCGAGACCTGGGCCAAGACCTGCTGGCCAAGACCCACACACACTCCTAAGCTGTTCTCAACTTTCACCATGATTCCCTTTCCCCAGCCTCTGAATTTGTGAATCATCTTTAGTCTCTTAGTTTCAGAGTTAACAGCGTCTGTGGAAGCAAGGGAAGGGGTTCGGGCTTTGGTGAAGATTTGGATGGGGGCCCAGGCAGGCAGAGGAAGAAGGACAAAATGACAGGTGTGCCTCAGTCTGCGTAGACTGCTTACAAATTGTATTTGTAAATTAGGCACTGAACGGAACTATATTTGAATAGAAAAATATAGAATATGTCTTTGCCACCTTTAAAGAGAACGAGTGAGTGAATGCACACAGGAAGGGGAAAATAGACCAGGTTGTAACATCTGGCAGTATACCCAGAACATGCTCTTGTTCGTTTATGTCTACATAAAGTGCTTACTGAAAAAGAGACATGTTATTATATATAAAATTAATTTTTTAACTTTTTTTATATCTTGACATTTTCTCTCTAGGCTAATAACAGAACCCTGCAAGAGAAGATTTTACAAGTGAACAATTTGGTAGAAGCGTTTGGCAATGCCTGCACTATTATAAATGACAACTCCAGCCGATTTGGAAAATACTTAGAAATGAAATTTACCTCTTCTGGAGCTGTGGTGGGAGCACAGATTTCTGAATATCTTCTGGAAAAATCTCGAGTTATCCACCAAGCTATGTAAGTTCCTGTCAAATATCTCTTACTTGGGGGAAAACATAAGCAAAGATAACATTTCTGGTTTAATAGTAAAATGTCTTTCTCATACAACAAAATTTTATTGATCACCTGCTATGTGCAAGGCATTTACCATTAGAAACAAAGAGATCTCTCAACACTGCCTTACTCTCATGTATGTTACATCCAGCAGAGGAATTAATAAATAACCTAAAATTTATGCTACCAGGTAGAAAACCTAAGCCTATCATAAAGATACTAACAAAGTAAATTCAAGCAAGCTCTGAAGTAGGAAAGAATATGTTTCTCTATGCAAAATTAATGTGAAGTTTAGATAATTAGATTAACTAAGTCTTTTTTTTTTCTTTCTTTCTTTCTTTTTAAATGCTAGTGTATATAGATAGACCTTTGTACTAATTCTATTCTTCCCATGTTTATACACAAGGGACAAAATAAACCCCGTAAGTTTAAGCCATTAGTAGTAGTAGTAGTGTTGATTGTTGTGAAGATGAGAAATAACATCTAGCACAGTACTTGGGATTTCAAAGATGTTCAATAAACAGCAGCTACTATTTACTGATGTGTGTTTTGAGCACTCAGAACTTAGTGGACGTGCATGTCAGCACCTTCGTCACCTGTACCTAGAAGAATCTCAGGGTCTTACCTGACTCTCAAAACTATTCGTTCTGCTCTCATAATTGTGTGAGCCTCTCCTTCAGGCCTGTGGGGAGAACTACTTGAGAGTAACTTGTTGATATGTTGCACAACGTCAAGGCACATCATTCACAGTGTGTTCCGTGGAGTTATGCGCAGGGACACCATTCACATAGAATGTCATGTGACTCGTACCCTCTGGAGTTACATAGTGAGACCCTGGCTTTGAAACCATACTAATAATCTCGTTAATGCTTATTGAAATATCACAGGATGTATTCTAAGAAATAACATAATTGGGATTATGTTTAAGGCATGTTATGCATTAATTAAGGTTTTTTTCTCCAGCTGGCCTAAAGATCTGTTCGAGTTTTACAACACTGTTTATTGGAGAAAAGCTCTCCAAGTTCTAAATTCACAGTCACGCTGGAATACAACTCAATTATAATTTGAATACAGCTACTTGATAATTGATAGTGAAACCAGTTTTCCATTTTTGTATCTGTCTTTTTCTTTTACTTAATTGGAATTGCATTTTTAAATTCTAGAGAAGCTTTTTGTGACCTATAAAAGTGGAAATATCAGGCATGTGGTAGAAGAATTCTTAGTAGGTACATTATTTAATTATATGTTTGTTATAAATGCACTGTATCAATCAGGGCAGTGAAAGGAAAGAGCAAGTTGGAAGGGTTAACTAAGAAAATTATTTACAGACGTCAAAGGGGCATTGAAGAAACAAGAATGAATGGGGAGACGCCCACGGACTAAGGAGGGTGGGGAACCACAGCTCTGCTGGAAGAGGGAAGGGCAGGGGGAAGGGCAAGGGGAAGGGCAGGGGGAAGGGCAGGGGGAAGGGCAGGGGGAAGGAGAGGGCTCCAGAGCTGGTTTGACCTGCAGCCACGGAGCAGGGCTGCCTGTTGGGAGCTGTGGCCTTACAGGGACGCAGCCAGTGAGGGAGAGAGCAAGGGGATGAATACCCAACCTCTCTCCTCCCTTTGCCGGTCTCCTGCCTGTGCTTCCTATTGGCCAAACCCAAACGGATGCCAGAGAGCACAGGAGCCCAGGAACTGCTGTCTATAGAGCCCGGCCTTTGGGGTCACAGAGCAAAGCAAAGCAGAGTGGGGAATGGACCTTCGAGGCAGAGAATAACCAGAGCAGACAAGTATTTTTTTAATGAACTGCTCCTTTCTTTTAAGAGAATTAGTTCTTTACTTCTCTTTTCGCCTCTGCCCATGTCATTCCACCTCAATCTCTGACCACATTTATTTTTAAATGACTTTCCTAATGATGGTACTATCTTATAACTTGACTTAAATCCTTTCCTAAAAAAAATGATAATTTTAAGAAAGAAAAATTAATAAGAGGTTACTTAATTTTAAGAAGAAAATGAGCATAGTGTAGGCAGTGCTAGATAATTCTTGTAAATATAAATTATAGCTATTTCCCCCACAGTTTTCTCCTGTTCCTACAGTTCAGTTCGGCAAGCATCGGTTGCATTGCTCTCACGTGCCTAGCACTTTGCTGGGCTCAATAGGAGACTTAAACACGTGGCAGGCGTGGTGCTCTCCACTGTGGGGGAAGGAACAATACAGGATGCAGCAGTTACTCTGTGTCAGGCACTGTGCTAAGCACCTTGAAGCCACTACCTCTTTCAATTCTGGCAGTCACATGTAATTAGTCAGCGTGTTATTGTCTCTTTTATACATGAGGAAAGAGACTAAGAGAATTTTAATAAGTTGCCTAACGTCAAAAAGCTAGTAGGTGACTGAGTTGAGTTTGAACTCTTATCTCTCTGACTCCAAAGCCCACCATCCATCCATCCATCCATCCATCCATCCATCCATCTGATATTTACTGAGCACCTGCTGTGCACTGGGCACAGGAGCTATAAAGCTGAGGAGACAGGATTCCTGTGGTAACGCAGCTCACAGTCTGGAGAGCCCCGTGTGCCTTAGTACAAAGCTTGCCGGTCACTCATCGGTTCTAGTCTCTCGGGAAAGTAGGAAGTGAGTTCATCTGCAAAGAGTGAGCAGGTAGGTGGCAAGAGAGGGAGACTGAGAAGACTGGATATCCAGGACAGAGTCTAAGAGGAGGGAGCTGTAATTAAAAATGAAAAACTAAAAGCACTATTTTATGAATACCCCATGGGGCCTTAAGAATGCAAAGCTTCATTATTCGGTTTCCAGTGGAGACTTATGGTTGGCCACTTTGTTGAAGATGCAAAGGTTTCATAGGTGAATTAAGCCACACGCTTGTGAGGACTTTGCCACAGTTTTGAGGGTGTCAGAGGCCTTGGCTGCGAAGGTGACACCAGGATCCAAGGCAAATGAACAGCGTGAGATAGCCACGCGGGCCTGCCCACGAGTGTCTGAGTGGAACTTACTCTGGGGAGTACTAGAGGATCGGTAAGTAGGAGTGGGGCCAGAGTCAGAGAAATACTATTTGGTAACTTGCTGAGACCCCACGTCTGTCCCCAGGCAGTCCAGGCCTGGAACCACTGGTCATGTTGGCAAGTGCGGGTGCCGTGGTGCTCTGTCTTCTTACTCACAGCTTTGATGTAGGTAGGATCAGGGCATGAGATGGGTAATCTTTGGAGATACCTTCTTTTCCTGTCTCGTTAACTCTCTGTTTGTCCACTGAAGGTCAGTATATTTCCCATAGTATCTCCAGGTCTTGTCAAATTACAATTCCCAGTAAATGTAAACTAATAATTACAGAGAAATCCACTAATTTTGTGTGTCTACATTTCTGAGTCACTTCACTAATTGTACATTGCATCATTTAAGTGTTAAAGATGTGACAGCTGGAGCAATCAGGGTGATTTCATTAGAACAAAGCAAACCAAATTATAAGCTGTGCCAGTCGTAGAGAAGTCTTCATTATTTTCTGGTGAGAAAAGACAAGAACTAAACGAAATGTTTAGTTTTGTTCTAACCTCGCTCCTGTGTGATGTTGGTGTTTGTTGCAGTATTACTGGTGATTGCAACAGGGAAGAGATGGGGGCGTGGGACGTGGGACTCTGATCCGTTCTGAAGAAAGGTTGTGCCAGTCCTTATGTCCCGTCTGTGGATCACCTTTCTTTGCTCCATGACTGGGTTCTCCTGATTCTTCTCCCACCTCTCTGAATTTTTCTTCATTGACTTAGATTTATCCATGCAGTCCCCAAATGTGTACTTACCAAAGATTTTTTCCTTGAAGCTCCTTTCTTTTCTCTCTGTACGCTCTCATTTTGCAGTTTCTTCTGACATCGTGGCCTCAACAGATAGCACTCTGTGGCTGATACCCAAAGATAGACCTCTCACGCTCTCTTGAGTTCACATTTTCCATTTCCAACTTCCTAAATGTCCTACTGCCGTCTCCAATTCAACCGAATACATGTTCCAAATCTATTTCTTTTCCCATAGTCCCTTTCCTTTGGAATGGAACTATTCTCTCCTGGTTATGTAAAACCTCTGTGTCTCTCTTCACTTTTCACATCTAAATATTTGTGAAGATGTGTTGAGTTCATCCCTATAGTCATATTATTATCACTTCTCTACTTTCTCTTCCTCTGATGCTATTTTACCTCAAGCCCTTATTTGAAAGATTTGGATTTCCTGGGCATTTGACCTCTCTTCCAAGGCCTGGCGATATCATTCCTTCCCAGATTCACGGGAGAGTCTCCACTCAGAATGCACACTAATCAATCGCACTGTTACTCCTCTTTTCCTTTTGAAACACTAACAAGGAAGAACAGAGATCTGCATTCTTCGCTTTATCAAGTTCTACACTTTCATATTAAGTATCTCTATTAACTTTCAATAAAGACCAAAAGGAGTATCTTGAATAGTCACTAGTGTGGCACAAATATCAAACCTTTAACCATGTTATTTAAAATCTACGTGAATTGTGTGCTGGATGGAGCCCATAATGAGCTTCTGGAAAAGTTATTCTTCTACTGGTTTTTGTCAAAGCCTTGAACAAAGACTAGAGATTATAAAATAAAGACACAGATGTTACTCCTAACATCTTTTACTGCATTATTGGAAAAACAAATACATATGGATATGTTTGAGTTACCATAGATCCTGAGGAAAACGTCTGTGTACTGAAAGAAGAAATAATTTCTAAAGAGAGCAGAGGTAAAATTGCCATCTCCACTGAGACTATACTGCATAATATATAGGAGGAGAAGGCATGGGAAAGTTTTTAAATTCTTACTTACCTATTAAGTAAAATAATTTGTGTAGAAATATGCATATCGTAAAGTGGGCTTTTTTTCTATTGCATATACGTCATGTGGAAAAGCTTATTTGTTCAAGTAAAAAAAACAGCTTAATAATAATAATTCCTTTTCTGCAAATATTTCATTGGCCCCCTAAGTTTGCTGATAAAAGTTGTGGAGCGGGTGAGGGGAGACCAGCTGCCCCTGGAGTTTCCACCTGGAGGATGATTGGGGGGACCCTGGGCACAGCTTGGGCCACTGCTGAGTGTGGCAGGAAGGGCATAGCCACAGCGACAGCTCCATGTCTCCTGACCCAAGCCCTGGGGCCACCTCCAGAGCTGTGTGTTGGGGTGAGAGTTTTATACTAATTGAAAGAGAAGTATTAATAATAATAGAAAGGAATGGCGATGGCAAGGCCTTCGGGTTTGAGATGTTACAATTCATTTAACCCCTGCAAGAGGAACCCTCCCCTGCCCCAACTGCAGCCTGGGAGCCTGGTGATAATTTAGGACCACCCTAAAAAAGAGGGGGATCCAGTGGGAATGCCGTCAGGAAATGCAAACCCCAGGGTCTCCCAAAGGGCCACTAGAGTCATCGAGAGTGGAAGGAGGCAAGGCAGGGCCAAAGAAGGGGCAGTGGAGACAGGGAAACTGCAAGCAGGGGCATCGTCCTCCGCTATTTCGGAATGGAGCTGGAAAGTGTGGTCTGCTCCCAGAGCTCACCAGAGCAAAAGGAAGACATGAGGGAGGCAGGAGAGGCCGATCCCGAGGCTCCGCCAATTATGCTGTGGAATGTCCTGAGTGGGAGACTGGCCTGCTGTGATCCATGTTCCTTCCGTGGCATTATTCCAGCGACTGGGAAACACTGTTTATACTACTTAGAATATTAGAATCCTGGAATTCGAGGCTTACAAGATAAGAGATTCCTCATATAAGTGAGAAAACTGAGCCTCAGAAGGTTAATGAGAAAGGTGGTTAAAGACATGGGCTTTGGCATCCAGTAGACCTGGTTTGAATGCAGCATAGTCATCAACTCTGTGACTTTGGGGAGATTGGCAGCTCTGAGCCTCAGTTTCCTTGTATGTAAAATGGGAAAAGCATGCCTACCTCAGGGAGTCATGGTGGGCTCATGAGATAACGTAGCACTTATCACCGTCTGGTCTGGTATGCTATATATTAATTATTGTTTCTTTTTCTGTCTGCTGCGCTGGCATGTAAACTCTAAGAACTTAGGGATTTTTGACTGTTTTGCTGATGCTATCTCCCCAGTGCCTGGAACAATGCCTGGAACTCAGTCATAAATATATATCGAATGATTCATATAAAGTGATTATTATGGTGTCTGGAATTTAATGACAGTGGTTGCTGAAAATAATGACAACAACAGCAACCACAGAAAGCCAAACTGCGGCACTCAGTAAACCCTCATCAGCACTCACAGTTGTTGATTTAATAAACTTATTGCTGAGTAATTTTAGCCATCAATATGTATTCTTACTAACCTCCTTATGGAAAATGTCTTCTTTTTTCAGTGGAGAAAAAAATTTTCATATTTTTTACTACATTTATGCTGGTTTAGCTGAAAAGAAGAAACTAGCCCATTACAAATTGCCTGAAAACAAGCCTCCCAGGTAATGCACCAGTTTGTACTTTCATAAATAATACTTCCACTTTCCACTTAATTTTAGATTTTTACCCTTTCTTTCATATTTTTTCAGGTACCTACAAAATGACCACCTCAGAACAGTACAGGACATGATGAATAATAGTTTCTATAAGTCCCAGTATGAATTAATTGAGCAATGTTTCAAAATCATAGGTTTTACGATGGAGGTAAGTAGGAAAGACATTTGAACCTCTTTAGGAAGTATCTTTTTATCATTGCTAAGGGTACGAGTTAGCATGTATTGAGTGATTAATATAAGCCAGACTAAGTGCTTTACATGGATTTAAACAACCTTATAAAATAGCTAGAAATATAATATTTACTTCATAGATGAAGAAATAGTGGCCCTGAGATATAAATGAATTTGTTTTTGTTCTTAGTATTTGATTTTACTTATACTTACATCTCCCACATATATAAAAAAATTTTACAAAAATTCATACATGTACATGTTATTTTTAGTGCAGTCTTTTTTATAATTTTATTAATTGATATACCATACAGTCCACCCATTTAAAGTGTACATTTCAGTGATTTTTTTTATATTCATAGAGTTGTGTATCTGTCACCATAATCATTTTTAGAATATTTTCATGTTCTAAATTTTTCTCTTCAAAAAGAAACATGGTAGCAATTAGCGGTTACTTCCTGTTCCGAGTTCAGCCCTACTTTCTATCACTATAAATCTACTTATTCTGGACATTTCACATACATGGGGTCATATAATAAATATGTGGTCCTTTGTGACTGGCTTCTCTCACTCAGCCTAATGTTTTCAAGGTTCATCCATGTTGTAACATGTATCAGAACTGCATTTTTTTATCCTTGAATAATATTCCATTTAATGGATAGACCTCATGTTATTTTTCCATGCATTGGTCGATGGACATTTGGGTTGTTTCCACTTTTCAGCTATTATGAATAATGCTTCTATGAACACTAATGTACACGTTTTTGTGCAGACATAAGTTTTCATTCCTCTTTGGTATACACCTAGTAATGGAATTGCTGGATCAGAGGGTAACTCCTGTGTTTAACCTTTTCAGGAATTGCCAGACTGTTTCCCAAAGTGGCTGCATCATTTTACATTCTCACTAGCCTGTATGAAGGTTCCAGTCTCTCCCCATCTTCACCAATATTTACTGTTATCTGTCTTTTTGATTATAGGCATTCTAGTGGATATGAAGTTGTATCTCCTGATGGTTTTGCTTTGAATTTCCCTAATGACTTATGATGCTAAACTTCTTTTCATGTACTTATTGGTCATTTGTATATCTTCTTTGGAGAAATGCCTACTCAGATATTTTGCCTATTTTTTAATTGGGTTATTTGTCTTTTTATTGTTGAGTTATAAGAATACTTCATATTCTAGGTACTAGCCCCAATCAGATATATGATTTGCAAAAATTGTCTCCCCTTTGTTGTCTTTTTACTTTCTTGAAAAGTGAAAAGTCTTTTGAAGCACAAAAGTTTTTAAATTTTATGATGTTCAATTTATCCATTTTTTCTTTTGTTGCTTATGATTTTAGTGTCACATAAGAAACCATTGCCTAATCCAGAGTCACAAATGCCTAAGCTTTCTTCTAAGAGTTGTACAGTTTTAGCTCTTAAATTTATGTCATTATTCCATTTTAAGTTAATTTTTGTGTATAGTGTGAGGTAGGGGTCCAGCTTCGTTCTTTTGCTTGTGGGTATCCAGTGTACCAGTACCATTTGTTAAAAAGAATTTTCTTTCCCCACTGAATGTTCTTGGCATCATGGTCAAAAGTCAGTTGACTACAAATGTATAGGTTTATTTCTGGACTCTCAGTTCTGTTGCATTGATTTATATGTCTATCCTTAAGCCAGTACCACACTTGATTACTGTGGTAAAAGCTTTGTAGTAAGTTTTGAAATTGCAAAGTGTGAGTCCTCCAACTTTGTTCTTCTTTTTAAAGATTGTCAATTTCTAGTGCAGATTTTTTAAAAGCTTCTTTTTTGCTCAGCTTTCTCTTCCCCATCTCACTCCCTTTCATCCACATCTGTTCTCTTTCTCTCCCCTCAGCAAATGGATGTTAACAACCCAGTATATATAGCCCAATATTCCATATTTATCTCCCCGCTCCTAGCGTCCTGCTGGTAGACACCCCCCTACACACACACACCCACCCACCCACACACACACACACACACACACACACACACAGTTGCAAATATGTACATTGCATATATCTGGAGAGGCGGTCATTGTTTTATTAATATGGAATTATATTATATACACTTCTTTACATCTGATTTTTCCTACTCAGCAATATCTATAAAAATCCCTTCAAATCACCTAGAATGTCACTGAATCACTTCTTTGAAAGGTAATATAGTGTCCTATGGTATGTACTACCATAGTTTATTCAGCCATTCAGCTATGACTGGGCATACAACTATTAATGTTTCCAGATCTTTTCTTTCTATGGGATAGGTTCCTGGTAATGCTACTGCTGGGTTCAAAGGTATATGTATTTTAATTTTGAATAGAAATTGCAACATTGCCTTCCAATAATTCTGTAACATTTCACATTCCACCAACAATGCATGTGAATACTCTTTCCCCACTCATTCCTGCCAGCAATATGTTGTAGCTTTTTAAACGTTTGCTAGTCTGATGGGTGAAAGTCACATCTCATTTCAAGTTTGCACATCCTTGACTAATAGTATATTTGAACATCTTTCCATTTGTTTGCCAGCTGCTTAGGTTTATATTTATGAATTGTATATTTATATATGTTGCCCTTTTTATTGAATTATTTCTATGCCTTATGCCAATTTGGGAGTGCTCATTGAATGTTGTAGACATTATATTTCTCTATCATTTGTGTTATAAATGTTTCCAGTTATATGACTTGTCTGTGACTTCCTTTTGTTATATTGTTTAC